ATATGTATATATATATATATATGTTTGTTTTTTTGGCCAAATACATTTTCTGATGTGCCAGTCTGTGTCCTTCCATCTTTGTTGCCTACGCGAGAATTGCGTAGCCTTTACTGTGTTTGGCAGACTTCTGAGATGGGTTTCCCAGCCAGAGCACTGCTGAGCAGGATGGAGCAGCAAGGAGGGCAGGGAGTAAATTCAGGAAGTAAACAGAGTGAAAATCATTAGCCCTGAATGAAAATGGTGGCCATACCGAAACCAGATGATCTAAAATTTCTACACTATGATTTTAAAGTTCTGCCTGGCATATAACAGGATGGAGTGCAATTTGCATGGCACTAGCGCCCCTAGATGGCGCTGAGGAGTATAGTAAATTCCTACACTCGTCAGCGCCATCTAGAGGCACTAGTGATTTGCGAACAGCATCCGCCCGACTTATATAAATGCAGCCCTATGTAGGTTAAATTTAGCCTGCATTGTAAAGGAAGTGTGTCTTTTATTGTGTTTCAGTTTTTGAAGGTTCGGGTGAAGTTCCTCTTTAATCTGGCTCTCAGTTTCATTTCAGTTTGACATGTCTGCCTGGCGACATCAGGAGATGCCTTTGGGGCTGTTTGTAGATGGATGTAGAATATTAATTTGTACATTTGCTATGATGACTACACAGAGAGTTTTATAAATATTTTATGAATATCCCAGTTTTGTCAGATGAATTTCTTAGCTCGGTGTAAAAAACCAAAATGCATGCAAGAGTAAAAATGTTTTTTAAAAAGCCGAACACTTCCTTGAATACAAATATGTTCAATAACCTTCTAACTATGAAAAGACACCACATTGTACAGAACACTAATGAGCTTCATCAGCCATAACCTTTACCCACCATGAGAGTTAAAAAGTTCAACCTCCACGATGCTATCTTACGATTTCCTGATAGCTGTCCCTTTGTTCCCTATAACCATGTTTTAGAGCTTTACACGAAATATGAATCACTTGTGCGTGTCCGATTTAACCCCTTGTTGCCAAATAACTTTATTGTAAATTGGACACTTATCAACAGGGGGTTTTTATCTCAAGTCCCCATGCTATAAAATGTGTAGATGAGTCCTTAAATTGAACATGCACAATGCAATCTGAAAACAGTCACATATACTGTATATTAAAGCCCAACTCCGGGCACAATACATTTAGGGGGTCATTCACTAAGCTGCCGAAGGCAGCTGAATGAATAGCCGAGCCAAAGTGAAGTGAGCCGCAGCCTGTTCGGCTATTCACTGCAGCTATGTACGGCTATTTTTAGCCATACATTGGCTGCATTCAGCTCACTTCACGTGCCTTCTGCTCGGCTGAACAGCCTCAGCATGTTCGACCAAACCAAAGGGAAGAGCCTGTTTGCCTTAGCCGATGCAACATCTGGATCGACTTAGCGAACGTTCAGCAGTTCATTTCCTGGCCAGTGGTGCATGCTGGGAGAGGACATAAATACAGTGGCTAATACTGAGGATGAGGATGACAGAGTAACTTTAACAGGTGTGTAGAAGTGATCCTCTGCTATGACTGGAGAGTATGTTCCTGAATGGACTGGTGACTTCTGATTCAAGTACTGCTTAGGTGGGTGCTCAATAGACAGATTGCCCTATTTGGCTTAAAGGTCCTAGTCTGTGATGGCAGCAGATACTTTGTTCTTCAATTGAAAGGAGTTTACGCCATCCTGGATGTTCCTTTGCCCTAAACCTCTCTCTCCCTGAAGTTCTACAATAAATTTCCTTCAGCATCATATCTTCAGTCTGGATCTCAGCTTTATCGGTCGCCACAGAAGGGTGGTAAGTGCTATTGGGGCAGCCATTTTGCTAAAAATCCCTAGACTGGCTATAGAAGACCCATTTATCCAGCGGCTCCTTCGGGGGCGAGCACTACACTCTAAACAGCTTAACCAATTTTAAATATAATTTAAATGAAAGAATTAGAAAAACAGTGAAAGAAAATATTAACAGAAAATTATATTACAAAATAGACAATAAGCAGTAGCAAAATAAATGAGAATAAAAGTGAAAAAGTACTTAACAAAGTTTGCCTGGTCTTTAGTTCATGTGCACTCGTGGGCTCTCTCATGAAGGATTTTTCCAGTATCCTTACCAGTGTTGATGCCAAATGAGATCTACCAAGCTGCAGATGCAGCCATCTTTTCCAGTCCCTGAAAAGGGCATTTATAGAAATGACATTACCAATCAAAGGGTCTGAGGGGTGTGCTGATGGGGTGTTGTAGGGTTTTATTGTGCTCCAGGGCACACTGCCTCAATATCAGTTTTTTTAATTATGTCCTTATTTTCAGATGACAAGGTTTTACAGTCCAAACAAATAACTGAGCCCTGCAATGTATGGAAGAATGGCGAGGGTCCACCCACCTTCTTTCTTCCTGTCAGTCAGTGGAGGAGAGCACTGGCTGCCAGGGGAGCAAGGAAAAGGGTAAGTATGTGTACTTATTCCTTTTCCCCCTAGGTAAACACATGCGGTTAAGGTGAGATCATGCTACATGGGTAAATTTAACAGCAGTCCAGGGTTGGGCTTTACATATCTTTGTGTTATACTTCAATAAACCATTTGAATCCATTTCCCAAATATCAATTTGTCACAAACTGCCTATGCTAGATCTTTTGGATCTTTTACTACATGTTTTGGGAAATCCCTCTCATTAAAGCCAGTGCTTTTATATTCTTTACATCTTCCTACTAAATGCTTTGCATCTTTTTACTACATTTTTAGAATGTTATATAGTGCAATACTATTGCTGTCAGACTATTATTATGTTAAACATTGCTGCCACAAGAGACAGATTCCCCTTGATTGAGGCCACAGATGGAACTATGGTAGAAAGAGCTAATTGCAGTCTTCATTAAGGAGAAAGCCAGGAGCCCCTGCTCATCTAGGAAGGAGATCGCTACCTCTCTGAAATGCATTTGACAACTGAGAATTGCATGTGCATGCATCGTTCCTCTTCCTAACCCACTACCTCACTGACCACAAGCATGTGTGTGGCATCCTCTAATTGAACCCAGGTAATCTTCCCTACCTGACACTGCAACTTCATCTGAGGAATTAATGGCAGGATGATTCAGCAGAGAATTTGTTCCAGAGGAGCACCAGAAAAGCAAAGAGAGATTGCATTACAAATAACATGGAAGGACACTGTGGTTACTTTGTTCATTTCGGAAAGCAATAGCACTGACTAAAGGTGTATGTATTGTTTACAATATGTACCGTGTAAAGCAGGGGCAGGCAAACTCCAGCCCTCCAGCTGTGGTGCAACTACAAATCACATTAGGCATGGGAAGGCTCTGACTCCCAGAGGCAGATGCATGATGGGATCTGTAACTAGAGGGCTGGAGTTTGCCTACCCCCGCTGTAAATCAAAATATTGTTTAAACATAAGAACACAAAACTCTTTTATGGTGAGTGTAGGATTCTATCTATTGTTTTGTTTTTTTGAAATGGCAAAAAAGGGGCTGCTGACTAAATTACTTACTCAGTTGTAAGGACCATAAGCTGTAGGGACTACTTTTTGCCCTAAATAAAGGAAATTATTTCACTGATGACGTGGTGTGCCCATAAGGTTGTATACTATAGAATCTTAATGAAACAGGACATTGATTTACTTGGTCAACAGAGATGATCAGCCAGTTGTGGAAGCAAACTAGTAAGGGATCTATTTGTCTCTTTTATCATTTCTCTGCAATGGGTGAAATGTGCTGGGTACCAGTTCAATCATGAACAAATCCACTGAATGGGTTGATTGCACAAATATTGGAAAAAATTCACCTCCCTTCAACCCATCCAATTTTCTGTGAATCCCGCTTCAGGCTGATCCATTTGTCTAACCCTTTTTGATATCACTAGCAATTACAGTTGTCACCACTGTGGCCATGTGCGAACTCTCTCCTCTGGACACAAAAATCAAGAGAGTGAGAGGGATCTACTGTGTATGTTTTGATCTCTACAAATACCCAGCAGAAACAGAAACTGAGTAGTTGGCCTGTATGACAATAGAAGAAACCTACGTATTGAACAATAATCATACTCAGCCCTCTTAGTAAGACTTCATTACTAATGAAGAGGTGGTGAGGAGGAGGGGGATATTTTGATATATGTTTTCTGTTACCCATCACCCAGCTTCCTGCACCTCATGTCTCACCGCGAAAGAAAGGAAGTGTAGTTCTACCAGATTGTCCATTGTACTCTGTGACGAGTTTACACTTACTAATGCTCTAAACGCCTTATTATGGCATTTATCTTGAAGCTCTTTGGATATGGAGGGGATAAGAAGCACATGGTTGAAAGTCGCTGGCTCACACGCGATATTAATCCGGAACAGTCCTGGGAAATTCTGAGTGAGCTGGGCGATGGAGCCTACGGGAAGGTTTACAAGGTAATTTGTTGCAATGTATTACGTGGCTCTTTGATTCCTTAACACCTTCAACTTTGATTGCAAACTTTTTGTAATATGTATGCAAATATTGTATATTGTAATACATGTGAGTGGGTTTACAGAAAATGTAGAAATCCTCAGATGCTTAATTATATTGTTTTTCATTTTTATTTTTATGCATTATCAAACCCAAAGGGCAGTACGCTATGCGTCTGCAATGGCACCCCATAGAAGAGGGAGTACTATATATTTTCTGGCTGGATATTGTTTTATGAAAGCAATAAAAAAATTGGGAAATCAGTAGTAAGTATGTGACATTTTTAGCTGTAACCTAAGATGGCACATGACACACTAAAGGGACTAAGATGACATTAAAAGGTGTGCTATGGGGCCCCATCACACATACTGTAGCTACACCACTAGAAGATGACATTTCAAGTTTATCATTTTCTTTCAAATCTTTCATTTACAAGCTCAGCTCAGTGTGCCCTGCTGCTGATTATCCCAATGCAAGCCAATACTATTGTATTTTTTAATTAATATCAATATATTGATAAGAAGAGCATGCCTAAAGTGAATGTATAGCCAAAACTTTGTTTTTAATTTTCCCGGGAACAGGTGTCCCCATTGGAATTTGTCCCTTACCTCTTATTCTGGGGACAAATCTACAATTTTGCATTTCTTCTTACTTTCTTTCTCAAGAGTGCTAACCGTTCCCAATTCTATAGAAAAAAAAAAAGATTTTTCTAGAGATATATTTGAATTGGTAATGTAAGGTGACATTCAAGTGTTAAGCCAAAAACAATAGAAAGGGGTTAGACGTTATATTATTGTAGTGAGTGTAGCCCTGCATACTACATACTACAAGTGCACAATAAACAGTATTTGTTACATTTCAGCAGAAGCCTACATTAATATATAATTTATATTTTTGGATTGATGGGGGAAAACTGGAGCAGACAGAAGAAACCCACAAAAAGATGAGGATAAAACATTGTACAGACTAATTTTGGTGGGCACTGAATCTATTGAATCCTCACCAAAGGTTTATTTATTCAGTATGTCTCCCTATATCTGCTGCAATCTTTCACAACCCATTTCCTGTTCTTTTATATTCTGAACTTTTTAAAGTTGTGTTTATAAAGCTACGACATTTCATGTGCTTAACTGAAGTAGGAATTTGGAACAAGTATCTTTGAGCAGGGACAACAGGGTTGCTTTTACCCCTTATCACATGATCAGGACCCCATTTTACCAGCTCCCAATTGTTCCTATGACTAGAGCTGTCAGTGGCAGTGCAGTCCCAGTGCTGGTGGTGCGCAATTCACCATCCTTTTGGCATAAAAGATGGTATGAACATATGTGACCGCAAGGAATTGGACCCATCTCTGTGCTGTCACATATGTCACATATGTTTACATCCAGCAGGAAGGGTTTAATGGCCCCTTACCTCACAGCACCTTTCCTTAGCTTGTCCGCCACTCTGTTTGGCAGCTGAGATCAAAGATAATACCCGTTACTATGTGACAGCGCTGATGCTTTGTGATTGGACCTTCACATAGGGTGGGGTGACCGCCTTCAGTCTTGTGTAAGCTCTGACTATGGCAACTCAGAGCTTACATTGGGCTGCCTGTCCTCTCTTTGGCAAGTAGGTGCTCTTGGGAAGGGTAGCGTTAAAGCAAACCTGTGTCTTTGCCCTGCCAACACATTTTGTGAGAGTTAGTGTGAGGATTACAAGGAGAGTTAGTGTTAGGATGTGCATGTCCTAGGGTAGGGCATCGTTGACCTTCCAGTTATAAAAGTGTTTAACTAAAGCTAGACTATAGTGTCGGTATATTTAGCACAGAAAGGTTATTCTTTGGTCAACAGAATCTTGCTTAGGTTTACTTAAAGCTGAACTTCCGGATGAAGGTCTTTTTTAACCCAATCATCCCACTTTCCAAGCACAGTCCACACATCATTATATTTTGTTAAAATCATAAAGCAATCAGCAGAAATCCACACATTTATTAAATGTGACGTCATAACTTGTCTTTGGAAAGTCCTGAGGCAGGGAGAAGGGACCTGTGAGGTGGAGGCAGATGTGTGGGCAGTGACAGGGGAGTTCACTTCTCCTCTGTCAATGCCCCTGTAGCTGGAAAGCTTGCTTTTACTCTCTCACAGCCCCTGCAGCTGCAAGCTTTCCTTTCATGACAGAGGCAAGATTTAAGTTAGAGTCAGTGCACAGTGAGGTCATCTTCTGTCAGTGTTACCCTATTAAAAAAGTTAATTAGTCTAAATTATCCCTGTAGACCAGCAGTCTAATAAATAGCCTTCATACAGATGCAGATTAAAAATAAAATTATATGTTTATGTTTTTTGCATATATGGTATGGTATTATTGAAAATGTAATGGGCATCTGCAATACTTCCATACATATCGGAATTGTTCTAGTGTAATGGTCAGTGCTCCAGTCCATTATGATGGGTTGGTTAGTGGCTGTCCATTGATCATTTTAACGGTTTTAAAAATTGAGCCGCCTTGCTACAAAAAATCCACTGTTGGGTGGAATAACATTGGCCATTTTTTTTTTTTTTTTTTTTTACAAAATGTTATTTTTATTCATCAATTTTTCCCCTGTCCTGCCATAACTACTGATCACTCATCCTACATATAGTAGCCCTTGTCAGAGGTTAGTGGTAGGTATAACAGGGCTCAGCATGTGCAAAACAGGAGATATGTTGATTATTAAAAATAATATTATTAAATAATAAAACAGAAATGCTGCCAAATTATTAATTATATTTAGCAAAGCTAAATTTATACTAACTAAATATCACAGACCAGTCTAGGACCCGTGACCAAAGGCATATGAGGGGGCATTGTTAAATATTAATTGTTTTGCTGTCACAGCCGTTTTTGCATCTCAGTTTCTTTCTCAGTTTGATCAGCTTCGTCACCGACTACAGCGGGTGAGAAATCACAGCTCTGAAAATGGAAGTGACTAAATGCTCAACACTTCCAGGTTCACACAGCACGGGGACATTCAGTGAACAGATGCTGATACCTGCCGAGCCAGTTCTGGGCCAAGCAGGAGGGGCAGCAGAGCCTGGGATACATGGCGGGGATAGTCCACAGCAGTTCTCTCTGCAAAATAAAAACAAAAAAGTTAAATATGGGTAAGAAAAGAGCCAGCGTTGATGGGCTGAACTACGGTAGGGCCATAAGCGCTGGCACCGCTCCCAGGTCAGCAAGCCCAAACTACAGTAGGGTTGTTAGATGTTATATGGGGTTGGGGGGGTCACAGGAAGGGTAAGTGTTAGGCTTGGTTCACACCTGGGCGTTTTACAGCGCGTTCCTACGTGCTGTAAAATGCTCAACATGTGAAAACCAATAATTGCCTATGGGTATGGTTCCCACCTGGGCGTTTTACAGCGCGTAGGAACGAGCTGTAAAACGCCCTACGCCCAAAGAAGTACAGGAGCTTCTTTGGGGTGTATTTGCCGCGCGTATCCATTAGGATACAGCCGGATAGCCCTCGGAAACGCGCGTTTGTCGCACGTTTCTTTTACCGTAAATCGCAGTAAAAGCATAGGGTCTTGCCAGGAGACAGTCCTACAACTGTTCCAACACTATTGACCCAAGGATAGGTCATTACCAGGAGACAGTCCTACCACTGCTCCAACACTATTCATTCAAGGATAGAGCACTATCAGGAGACAGTCCTACCACTGCTCCAACACTATTCATCCAAGGATAGAGCACTACCAGGAGACAGTCCTACCACTGCTCCAACACTTTTCATCCAAGGATAGAGCCCTACCAGGAGAGACAGCTCTACCACTGCTCCTATACTATTTACTCAAGCATAGGGTCTTGCCAGGAGACAGTCCTACAACTGTTCCAACACTATTGACCCAAGGATAGATCATTACCAGGAGACAGTCCTACCACAGCTCCAACACTATTCATCCAAGGATAGAACACTACCAGAGGACAGTCCTACCACTGCTCCAATACTTTTCATCCAAGGATAGAACACTACTAGGAGACAGTCCTACTACTGCTCCAATACTATTGACCCAAGGATAGATCATTACCAGGAGACAGTCCTGCCACTGCTCCAATACTATTGACCCAAGGATAGATCATTACCAGGAGACAGCACTACCACTGCTCCAATACTATTGACCCAAGGATAGAGCACTACCAGGAGACAGTCCTACCACCATTCCAATACTATTGATCCAAGAATAGAGTACTACCAGGAGAGATTCCTACACTGCTCCTATTAATTCAATTTTCACTATAGAACCAGCAGATCACTTCCCATTTCTTTCACAGAGCCTCATGAAGGCAAATTGTGCATGCAGGAAACTAAAGTATTGTTAATTCTAAACCTAATCTCCCTCCATCTATACAAAGAGCAAGAGTCCTTCTCAGCTTGCTGGTAGAGGACAGGCTTTGGTTGCTTTCTAAAGAAAACCTGTTCTTTTGATGTACCTGGAATGTATTTAGCTGATTTAAACTGAGGGCCTATATACACTATAGTATTGCGTTAAACCCGTGCACATAGCGTTTGGTATCACATGCTAGGTGCACTGATGTGTTGGGTTGCCATTGATTCTCAATGACACCCCAATGCACCTCCCAATGCAGGTGTGCATGGCAGCAGCGTACAATGCACAGTAGCGCAACAGTAGGGATGCTGTGAAAAAAGTAGTGCATGCATTACTTTTTCTTACCGCACCTTAGCGCAGTACCGCTCTCTTTGCCCAGCGCCACAGCACATGCCTCGTGTGAGGTGTATTGGGGTGCCATTGACAATCAATGGCAATGCACCAGTCCACCTAACTAATGGTACAGTGTGCTGTGTGATAACTTGAATAACAGATCCTGCATTTATAGCAAAATGTTTTACTGAAAATATGCTGTTTGTCTTTAACTACTTTGTGCCCATCATCTCAGTAGAAGCACATTGGTTGCAATGAGATTGATTTACTAAAGAATCTGAGAATTT